AGAAAAATAAGGTAGAAAAAGTAGAAAAGATAGAAAATAAAGGTAGAAAAGGTAGAAAAGAAAAATAAATAAGGTAGAAAAGGTAGAAAAGTAAATAAATAAGGTATAAAAGGTAGAAAATAAAGATAAAAAAGGTAAAAAAGGTAAATAAATAAGGTAGAAAAGGTAGAAAATAAAGGTGGAAAAGATAAATAATAATTATTATATAATTTTCAAATAATTGATATGTATATACTATTTTTATCGATTTGTTGTTTTTATTACTATTTTTAAGATTTTCATATTTTCTATTATTTTTAAAAGATTTGTTAATTACAGAATTATTAAAAATAATTGTAACATTATCTTAGCTCTAAAAAGCTTTACGCAAGTATAGATTATCTTTAGAATTCCCTTTACTATTTCTTTACCTTCTCTTTCCTTTGACCTTTACTCTTCCGTAACTCTCCCATATTATTATTTCTTTTCAAGTAAATACAATTTCTATAGAAATTGGTATAGGTTTAGATATATCTTTTTTCTCTTAGTATTTTCTTTATCAGTTTATACTCTCTTCTAACTCAGATTCTTGTTTGTAACTAATTTAATGATTAGTAAACAAACTTGTAACAATATAATATTTTCAATACAATAATAATATATATTTAAATTTCTTTATTACTCATTTTTTTATGATAATTATTCTTAAATTACTTTAAAATTATTTAAAATCTTCTTTTATAATATTAGTAATACTTTTAAAAGAGATTTATTCAAGTTATTTAATTTTTATATATTTATTAGATTATTAATAGCTTTATTTTTACTAGAATATTTGTTGGATAAAGTTAATAATAATAATATTTAGTTTGTTATAATAATGAGTGTCAATTAAATATTCTTCAGAGTAATAATTATATTACTAACTAATATATTTATTATCATGAGCATTTTGAGATCTTTTATAAAATAATTTAATAATACATTATATTTTGTGATAACTTAAGATAATATTTCTCAAAACAAGTTTTTATTTTTCTAACAAAAAATAGAATTATTTGTATTTATTTATTATATTTCTCTATTTGAATATAAAAAAATTATAAATATTAATTATATATTGTATAACTTTTATTAAAAGTAATTATTAATTTTTATTTTTTGTGTATTAATATTTTTGTACTGAATTATATATATTTTTTACTTTTAAATATTAAGTATATAAGTTAAATATAATAAAAATAATATAAATTATTAAATTAAAAAATTAAAAATTTTCTTATTTTTTATTTTATTATTCTACTTTAAATTTTTTTATTTTATTAAATAACTATTTTTTTATAATTAAATTAATAAAAGTTTTCACTTATTAAAATATAATATTTCTTATTTATAAAAAATAAAATATTATATAATAAGTTATATATATTATAATTTTATAACTCAAAGTTAAGAACTAATAAAATTACTATACTTTATATAACAAATTTGTACTTAACTTGTATAATTATTATATAATGTTCTATTTATTAATAAACTTTAATACTTATAATTTTTTATATATTTTAATTTAAAGAAAAACTAATTATTATTATATTTATTTAAGTTTTCTTTATTAAATTACAATAAGCTTTTGGTGAAAAATTATTTGAAAAAATAATAATTTAAAATTCTTTATTATTTTTAGCTTATATATACTGCACTTATTTAAAATTAAAACATTATTTAACTTTTTTATTTTTAATTTTATTCTATTCTAATTTATAATAATTTTAATAAAAATTGATATAAAACTTAAATATATTTTTTTATTACTTTATCTTTTTATTTAAACTTTTTTTTCGATTCTTATTATATTTATAAACTATTAAAAAATAAATAACTGTATTTTATTATAAAATTATATTATTTAATAAATAAACTAATTACTATATTATTGTACTATTTTTAAAATGAACAAATATTTATTTTAATTTAGAATTTCTAAAATAATTTAATATATAATTATTTTAATTATTTTATAAAATTGAATGAAAATAACTAAAACTTTTTTTAAATAAAATTCATATATTTGAGTTATTATTAAAATTTATAATTAATTTTATCTAAATCAAAACCAAATTTATTAACATATTAATTTTTAAATTCATATTTCAATTATTAAATTAATTTTGTTATTAATTAAAATTGAAAATTCGGATAATATCTTGATAAATTTGGCTCTAATCTAAATAAAAATTAAAAACAGATGAATTTCATAATGATTTAAGTATAGATTTGGTCTTGGTTAATAATTTTCAGTTGGTCAAAATTTACTAATTGAAAATTTTGATATAGCTCACTCAATTTTACAAAATGGCTAAATAAATGGTTGCCAAATTATTCTAGTGGTTTTAAGATTTAAAATAAATATCTGTTCATTTTATTTGAGTTGATATTTATAGAGAAAAATTCCAGAAAAATTTTTAGAGATGACACAATAATTATGAAAGTCAGTGTATTAATAAATTGAACCTTTCTAGATTTATTCAGAATTTAGATTTTTTCAACAATAAAACAAATTTCACAGTAAATATTGAACAGTGTTGATGGTATTGGACTGGATCAAAAGAATAACTACAAGTAGATTTCACCATTCTTCTGGTTGTTTTCTTGTCCAGAATTGACCATTCTTTTCTAATCTCGGATCATTTGATAATGCAAGATAAACTGGTGTTTCAGCTCCTTGATCTTATTAAATTATTTATGTGAATATTTTGTTATACTAAAAACAACAAATAAGATTATATACCTGCTGAAAGTGGTGCTTTTTCGCTTCCCATATCCGTTCGAACCTTTAAATTTGTTAATATTTAAATATTCACATTCGTGATTTAATCAATTTAACTATTTAAATATACGTGTTCATACCCAGCCAGGATTAACAGCTTGAATGCAAATTTGCTTTTTTTCATTTGCTAATCGACGTGCTAATATTTTCGTGTATGCGAGCATGCCAACCTTGGATACATTATATGAAACAGTACCTGTAAATATATAGATTATTATGTTACCTGCAACTCAAGAAATATCTATGATTTATGACATATCACCTGATGTTGGCCAACCTTCTTGAACAGTTACACCACTATTTGTGTGTTTCTATAAAAAGTTTATTTTAGTTTATAACGAATTTACTTTAACTAAAATAATTTACCTCAAATTTTCTCATCAACTCATTTAATTCTTCGAGAGACAAATCCTCACGGCTGAATTCGGTTTGTAACTTTTTTGATGGAATCTGTTTGATTTGGCTGAATCTAGAAGCAATGTTTATTATTTTACCACCTGGATATTTAATTACCGGCAAAAGGATCTCTGTGGTCTGATAAAAAGAAAATTATTATTTGTAATTAAAATAAATTTTTCTAATATTAAGTCACCTTGATTAGTCCCCAATAGTTTGTATCAAGCGTTTTTTTGGCCACTGTTGGACTAAATGATTCACCGAGAAATTCTGGCCCTGAATAATAAAACTTATTAATAATCATTCGAATGTATGTTTAGCAAAATACTGTATACGTAAGTAAATTTTACCGATCGCCGCATTATTGATTAAAATATCAAAGCCTAATCAAACAAGAATTTAAGCTTTAACTTTAATTAACGTTAAAAAATTCTTTAGTTTAAGCTCATATACCTCCAAACGCTTTTTGCACATCATCTCGCATCTTTTGCACACTCTCATCATCAGTTATATCCAACTGATGAAATAAAACTCTAGCGACTCCTCCATTTTCAACAAGCAATTTTTTTGAATCCAATTCCTGATTGATTTCATTGGTTGCACTTAGACCACGTAAATTATTTCTGGCGGTTAAGTAGACAATTAAAGTTGACGTCTTTAGTGATGGAATGTTGTTTGCATGATAAAACACAAGGTTTCGCACTATTGCTTTGCCAATTCCTTTGTTCTAGAATAAATGATGAATCTTTATTTAGATTAAAAAGAAACAATTAAAGAGAAAGTAAGTTTACGTACTGCGCCTGTTACGACAGCAACGATATACGAAGACATTTTCTGAAATAGATCAAGCTTGCTTTACGATCATTTTATTCAAGTCTCAAATGCAGATCTAAATAATGATACAGTTCAAGTCCTTAAAGAAGTATACGTAGTGAAAAAAAATCAATGCGTACAACATACGTACGCATGTATGACAATACGCATTTGTATTTTATACATGTACTACACTCGGTGGACAAAAGTCTGGAATCGGGCAATGATCGACATACATTTGGTGTGACTTTAATCGTCTACCGCGCG